TTTCCCTTTCTCCGTGGAGACAGGAAACGAAGAGGAATGCCATTACACTATGAGAATTACTGTAATTTTAATTTCTAAAAATTGCCAAGAGAGTTTCATCTTAACAAAAGCAACAAAAAAATCTGGCTAGATTTTTAGAATGCTTTAAAATTCATTCTCATCTACAACATTCCCTCGCTTTCGCCTCTTACTTTGAGAAGATTCTCAGGCCACTAAAAAAGTTGATGTGATAAGAAAGCCCAGCTTCCTTCATCTTCATCAAAGAGTAGAAGGCTAAGTGTCATCATTGAAAATCTTGGAAGAATCAAGGTAGCCTGAAGAAATGTCATAGATAAAGAGGGACAAACTGGATTTTCCACATTAGGTGATTCAAAAGGACTGGGTCCTTAAGAGCCCTCAGCTTTTCAAGTCAGCCTGCTGTCACTTGAACTTATTCAGCTATGAGCATAACAAAATACTCTTTTAATGGGAAGGAGATGACATTAGATCCAGAATGAATATAATAAAAATAAGATTCCTTATGCTCAAAGGGCTTATTAGCTATCTTCTGTTAATTATCTCCAGACTATCATTTCTTATAACATTATGGAAAGTCGATACTGTACTATTAAAAAATCATTGTATTTGATGATGTCCAATTCTTGCCCTACAGGAGGTATTCAGCCCAAGAGCACAATTTTGTCCAGGTATCCAACCTTTCCTACTGTGGACCACATGGTCCTCGGCCTTTCTCATTTTCACAGTGGCCATGGAGAAGTAATCCCAGAAATACACTCTTTCCCAAATCCAAAGCAGGATGTCTGCCTTGTATCAAGATACATTCATAGAGGGGAAAAAGTGCAGTAGTTGACACAATTTACTTTAACAATGATCATCTAGATTAGTACAAATATACCTTGCAGTACATACAGTAACACACACTTGCAGAATAGAACCTTTCTGTCTACACACAAATAAATGTATGCAAATATATAGTTGATTAAGAATTTATATAATTTCAGGTTGAGAGGAATTTTTCAACAAATGCCTTCATTTGCCTTTATGAATAAATAAACCAAATTAAAAACTACTTACAGCAAAGCTGAAGTTTCACTTTTCAATTTTTACTTATTATCTGGTACTAGGTAATTAATTACTTCCCAAAACAAACATACTACAACTGTGTCACCAAATGCCCTACCTCTCCCACCCACCAACAAGAGAGAAAAAATTAGATACATGAATATTGGAAAGCTAGCACTCTTCAAATGGCTGGATGGATTATGGAAGAACCGTGGATGTTGTCTACCCTGACTTCATCAAGTTTTTCGACACATTCTCCCATAATATTCTCATAGGGAAGCTCCAGAAGTGTGGGTTAGATATGCAGGCAGTGAGTCAGATTGAGAACTGGCTGGATGGCAGACCTTGGAGGGTGGTGATAAATGGGGCCGAGTCCAGTTGGAGGCCTGTGGCCAGTGGTGTCATCCAGGGGTCAGTACTGGGCCCAGTGCTGTTCAATTTGTTCATCAATGACCTGGACGAGGGCACAGGGCACACCCTGAGCAAGTCTGCAGATGATCCGAAGTTGGGTGGAGTGGCCGACACTCCGGAGGGCTGTGCTGCCATCCAGAGGGACCTGGACAGGCTGGTGAGTTGGGCAGAGAGGAACCTCATGCGGTTCAATAAGGACAAGTGCAGGGTCCTGCACCTGGGGAGGAATAACCCCAGGCATCAGTACAGATTAGGGCTCGACCTGCTGGAAAGCACCTCCACGGAGAGGGACCTGGGAGTCCTGGTTGACACTAAGTTCTGGGCTCCCCAGGACAGGAGGGACGTGGAGCTTCTAAAGAGGGTCCCGTGGAGATCTGATTGCTTAAAGATGATTAAGGGACTGGAGCATCTATCTTATGAGGAAAGACTAAGCAAGCTGAGCCTGTTTAGCCTGGAGAAGAGAAGACTGAGAGGGGATCTGATCAATATGTATAAATACCTGAGGGGAGAATGTAGGGAAAAAGGGGTCAAGCTATTCTCAATGGTGCCAATGACGGGACAAGGACAAGTTGAAACACAGTAAGTTCCATCTCCAGGTGAGGAAGAACTTCTTTCCTTTGAGGGTGACAGAGCCCTGGAACAGGCTGCCCAGGGAGGTTGCGGATTCTCCTTCCCTGGAGGTGTTCAAATCCACCTGGATGTGACCCTGTGTCACATGCTCTCGGTGTCCCTGCTAGAGCGGAAGGACTAGATCATCTGTAGAGGTCTCTTACAAACTCAACCATCCTGTGATTATGTGATTTGAATCTGCTACAATTAGCTGTACTAAATCATAAATAAAGCAAAGTAATGTTCGAATCAAGACTGTATGTGCATCAAAGTCGAGAGTTCACTGTGTGGTCTCACAGCACCAGTATATCAGGTGCCCTGAACATATGTAGTATTTTGCACTACTGTATAGGGTATTAACTTTAATGCCTTAATATATGTGCAGTCTGGTCCAGTTATGGTTGCTGGGGGAACTATAATTTTGAACATTCTTACCAATCTGCAGCTGGAAAAATAAAAATAAAAAGTACAAGGAAAAAAAAAATAATATCACTGCACTCCTCCAGCAAGAGTTTATGCATTTCTCTCCTTTTATCCTGGAAAGAGGAAGACAAGAAGACAAATGGTAGCTTGAAGTTGCTAGTGCACAGGAACCAGTTCAGATACATTGGAATAGAAATGGGAATGAAATCACATGTGTCCTAAGCCTTACACAGTATCACCGAGAACCTTCTTAGTTTTCATAAAGCAGCAAAGTTGAACACTGGCACTTACTTGCAAGTGGAAGGGACAAAGAAGAAAAACATCTCTAGCTGAGCCACTTTAACCCAATCTCTCCTACTGTTGCATGATCCAATTACTACTACAGCCCCCAAATGAGCAGGATTCTTGACCATTTTAAGGCAGATAGTTTTGCCTCTGGCTTGATCATTTTTCATCCTCTCCTTTGCATACACCCTCACCACTAGCGGAATCCATGATTTAAGTACTTCTCCCCACATCTTGCTTCCTTTATCCATTAGACCTCTTCATCCTCTTAGCACTTGTTAATGGCCACATTTGCAGCATAGCCACAGCAATGCAAACATGCAGTCATCTTGGCCAGACCACCCTGAGCTGTTCCCACTTCTGCAATCCACTCTGTTGCAAACTGACATCTAAAAAAACTGGTTAGACATGCAAGAAGTAGAATAATATACATGCCACAAACAAAACAAAACAAAACAAAAACAGATGCATAAAAAACCTCCACTTTCCTTGAGTGTCAAACCATCAAAATGAATAAGGATTTGACCTCAGTGGGACGTGGCTAAGATTCGAGACTATTGTTTAAGGTTAATGACCATAAAAATACCTATGTTCAACACTGATTGTCAGCTGGTGGCTGAAAATAAGTTGTAAAATTGCCATGAATGCCTAACTGAAAAGAGACATTTGTGCACCATCACTCCAAGGTGGTGTACAAATGGGACCATTTGACAGGGTTAGAAGAATACATTAGCAATTTGGTTCACAAAGGCCTTAGGTTCATTGATCTAAAATTAACAAAGTGACAAGATCTGATGTAGAATCATAGCTGTTGGAAGTCCATCTAATATTAAAGCACTGATCCATTGATTTGCCATAATTGTGTGGTCTTCCTTGAAATCATTTTGCCCTTCCTTACTAAGAAACAGGAATGTGACAAAGCAAAACATTTTCCTATACAAGTCAAATAGGATTTCATAGATTCAAAGAATTGTTAAGGTTGGAAGGGACCTCTAGAGGTCGTCTAGTCCAATCCTCCTGCACACACATGATCACCTAGACCATGTGGCACAGGACTGTCTCCAAGGAGATTTTGAGTTATCTCCAAGGAAGGAGATTCCACAACCTCTCTTGGCAATCTGTCCTGATTTAGTAAACCAGGTGGCATGACAACTGGAGGAATGAAGATTCATTGGGAAAGCAGAAAATCTGCTAACTGCCCCTCACAGAAATTGCACTGTTATCAATAATAATTATGAAAATTAAGCATCAGGTTCTGTTTTTTTGGCGGTGTGATATCAGCTTAAAATATTTAAAAGTCGTTCTGCATGTACGGTTTACAAGGCCAACTTAATATGTGGTGGACTCATACTACAGCAAATTGCTCTACTGTCATCAAATCTTTCATCAAAATCTGTGGAGATTTTGCCTGTGTTCACACTCATATACAATCAGGTACATATTTTATATGTGTGTATACACATATCTATGCATATACATGGATATACCATCTTTATATTCTTAATCACAGACTCATATTAATTTAACTCTGTTGTATAAATATATATATATAAGCATGCAAGTATACCTCTGTCTTTATATATGCATACAATTATATGCAATTACATATAGTATTTTTAATAAAGCTCCTAAAGAGGGTAAAAACAGAAAAAAAAAAACAACTCTTTTTTGCTCATGTAGTTAATTGTTAACCATGTACCATTACTACCATGTAATGCAGCTGAAGGACACAGAACAGATGATTCCTCTTAAAACAGAGCACAGACTTGATAAAAAACAACCAACCACCAAACAAAAACCTCCTCACTTATTTTTAAGAATTTGCACTTAGAGTACAATTTCTTTTTAGCTCTAAGTGTGGTGTCCCAGAAGCGGATGAGCAGACTGTTTTTTGGTACATTCCTGAATATACAAAACACTGCAAAATGCTCATCAAGAAGAGTAGTTCCTGGGGAGCAACGGGAAATGAAGAGAACTGTTTTTTGTGGGTTTTTTTTTTTTTTTTTTTTTTTTTTTTTTTTGTGTGTGTGTTTTTTTTTGTCTGTTTATTTTCCTGAGTTATGCACCTTCTGCCATCAAACATGTCATGCACTACAAGCTGAAATACAAAACCACCCCATCGGCTTCAGTGTGCAATGTACTATTCAACATTATTAGTGCACTTTGATGATAGTGTTTTTTTAGTAACATACACACAAACACAGACTTACCTGTTTGCTACTTCTTTGCCCAGTAGGAAGTAAAGCTTTGGATTTCTCTGCTATTTTCTGTCAAATAAAAAAAAAAAAAAAGGAAAAGACACTGAGAAATGCAGTCTAAATATTTAGGGAAAAAGTCATATAAGTCATGTGAAGTGATTTTTTCTGCTTTTTAAATAAAAGAATGTTTTAAAAGCTGTATCATTTGGAAAAGAAGAAATATAACCACATTTAAAAGTTTGGTCTTGAAGGAATTAAAACTCTTTAAAGCTTCCTGAATGACAAGGTTATCAAAATTGAAATATGCATTTAAGGAATGACAGCTAGGATGTGGATAAGTAGCAATTTACCACTCAGATTGGTTTCCTGACGCAACCGGGCACTCACAAAATGCAGTGGCTAATTTTGGCACTTCTATACTGATGACAGTTTAAAAAAAAAAAAAAAAAAAAAGCATAAAACATGTAAGATGGATTGTATAGGAGCTTAAAAAAGGTGTGTGTATGTGGGGGTGAGCACTCTACCTGAAGCCTTCCAAATTCTCATTTAATGGGGAAAAAAGTCATTTAATTTAAGCCTCCACACTTGGGCTTTGGAACAGGACAGTAAAGAATTAAAATAAAAGATGATTCTATAGATAGCACAATGCTATTATATAATATACATCCTGTTATATAATATACATCCTGTTAAATTTCCCCCAGCAAGCTTTCAGAAATCAAATGGAAGAGAATGGTGCTGATAAACTAGATAAACTTGAAGTTGCATGTTGCCAGCCAAATTTCATTATGCCTGTATAATGCCAGTTTACCTTCCTATGAGTTGCACACATGTGCCAAACTAATTGGAGGAGTGTAAGAAAGCAACTGGAGTATGCCCAGATTTTGGGTGTTTTATTTAAAAGCTTGCCCTTGGTGACAACTCCAACCCATTAGATGCGTTTGGAAATCTTATGGCATTAGTTATACACCATAGCAGAAACATAATGTGGGTTAAATGTTAAAGTTCAATAACAATATTGGCTGCACATTTCTTGTAAATAGAAAACACGGGGGGTGAGGAAAATGTGCAATCAGCTCTCCATTTCTCCAGAAACTGGAGACACATCAAACCAATGTCATGGCCATGTCACAAGGTACCTCTGAATGTCCACCAGACCCACAGGCATCAAATTCTTCCTGTTTCTACTCCTGGATCATTCTTCAGTTGCATAACCCAATATAATTATACAGGGCTTGGCAGTGATACAAGAAAAGAGGAAGAACTACATGTGGGAAGCTCTGTGGAGATGGTCCACAGTCCTGGGCTCTCCATTTGCTCCTGCTCCACACATTCCCAAATTGACACACTAAGGTCTGCAAGCTCCTCACCTTCTGCACAGCCCCGTACCGCTGGATGGCATCAGACAGCTGGTTCTTCAACCTGTCCAGCTGCAGTCGCTCTTGCTGTATTGGAAAGATAAGGGTGAATAAAGTCATGCGGGCAGGTCTGTAGGGACAAATCAATTAGTAGGTTCTGTTTGTCTGTGACCAGGGGTAACAGTCCTGGTAGGACACACCAGATAAACAAGATAGGCAAAACCCGTACTAAAATTCAATTTCATTAGGGTTACCAGGACAAAGTTTTATTTGTCAAGGTAGCACAAGATGCTTTGTGTCAAGCCAAAACAATGCCAAAAATCTCAAATTCTAAAGTATTCACTGAAATATTGAAGTCATGACTGCAGTGTGGTTTACTACCCAAGCTGGACACTTTCCTTGCAAGGAATATACAGCATTGCTGTCCTGCCCAGTGCATGAAGTACTGATTCTTAAAGGTTTGTGAAACCACATTGAAAATATAAATCTTACCGTCATCAAAAGAACAAAATTGCTACAGCATTACTTAATAAACATGAGGCTTTAAGTATGAGCATTTAAAGCAGGGCATGATAACCCTAGAAGACTGTCTTATTTATTTATTTAGCTGGTACCACAAGATGGAGTTCATCATTGCATCTGATCATAACAGGTGGTTTACTGAATTCAAGAGACTGAAGCCCTTTATGGATGTAAAGCCAGGATGGATTGAGCAAGACACTGATCTATGTTCAATTCAAGCCATATTTAATGAGGATATTTAAATAAATAAATAAATATTCTGTGAATCTGTGAATATCCTAAAATATCCACCAATTCCTGCCGACCCTCATTCTTGCAATAGTTCTCCATTAGGAAGGAGGAATTATTTTCAGGACATGTTCCAATATAGAAAGAAAATATTTACAGCCTGTAAGGGATAATTACTGTAGCAGTAGCCCCATCAATGCATGCAATAATGAACAGAGTCTAAAAATAGAACAAAAAAAAACAAAAAAATTACTATTATAATATAGATATCGTAATAAGCTTGTGTGGCTGGATCTTACAGTTGTTAAACTAGGAGGCAGAGCATTAATTCAAAGTTCAGCAGTTTCACATCTGTCTCCTGAGCCTGTAGCAAAGCTATTTAAAAGTTCTTTAGTAAATGCATTTGGATAGACCACTCTTCTATTGCCAATTATTTGAGGTGAGGAGTGTTTCAATCCTATATCAACATGAGATATCTGGACACATTTCATTGCTGCTTCTGAACAGGACACTATCACAATGCAAACCAATAAAGCATCACAACTGAAAGGCATTGCTGAGTCAAAGTGAGCTCCACCACAATTACTGAAGTATCCCAGATTAGTCATAGCCTGATGATGTCTCTACTTTATGTCAAAATCATTTTTTGTTGCATTATTTCCACTAATGGCTCAGACCAAAATCTGTTCTCCATCCTTTTTCCAATCCTTGTATTATTCCAGTTGAGGGGATTTTTGTCATGGGCTTTAGTGGGAGCAGAATCAACTCCTTCACATTACAACTAATCTTGAATCACTGTGGTCTCAGAAGAAACACGCCAGTCAGCCCGTATATCTATCCAGTATCCCACAAGATCACTGCTTTTAGATGAAGTGACCAAACCCAAACTGTGAAGTGTGTCAGGCCATCATCTAGAGAACAGAAATTTTCTTGGAGCTTCCACTTCCCTGAACTCAGACTTCAAGCATGTAGGAGCTCAGAAGTCTACGTCTGCAGGGCTGAGGAAGTGAGTATTACTCTAAAAACCAAGGAAGCAAATAAAACTCAGTGAATGTATGCGAAAGCAACTACTTCAAAAGGTTAAGTAATTTTAAAGCAATTCCAGCTGTTTCAGAAAAACTCTTAAGAATAAAAAAAAATGTATATTTATAAAAGGGTGGGATAAGCCTCTCTGATTTATAATAGTATTTAAATACAAAAGCATATCCCAATTCTTACTGTTCTTCATCCAAAGACTTAAAATTGCTTTTAGAATATGGCTAGTATCATTAGTCCTGTTCCACAGATAAAGGTCAATAAGCCAAGACTGCTTCCTGGAAGAAGTGATTAATAGTGCAACACTCATCCTATAAAAAAACAGAGATCTAGATGGGCATCTCTCAGTCCTATGAGGTTATTTTGAAAGGGAGTCCTCATATAACTAAGTGTTATTTTAGTCTCCTAAATCAGTCTCCTGCTGCACCTTGTGCCACACTGATCGACTCACACCAGTAACTTCGTCCTGAAATACTATCACTTTGCCTGGTTGAACCTCTTGCCTCCAATACTTCTAGCAACACCTGAAGCTTCAAGAGAAGTCAGAGAAACTCTCACAGTGTATCTTGCTGGCTGTGCATTACTGCTTGGAAAATAAGGGGAAAAAACACTTTTTTTTTTTTCTGCATGTGCATGCAGAGCAATAAGCACAATAAGAGATTAGAAAGAACTGACTATGGAGCTCTAAATTAAGGGAAAGCTTTTCATGCTGTGAGAAATTTTATGGGAAGAAAGTTTGGAATGTTACCCAGATCCCCAAGAGGGACTGACAGACCCAGCAGCCGTTATCTACCAGAACCATTTATTCTATATAAGGGAGAAGGGTGACAGGCTTTATATCAAAATTTGTAGGTTTAATTATTTAAGCTGAACAGTTAGAAAAGTTAAAGAAATAAAATCAGTTAAATTAATTGACCAGGGAGCAGAAAAAGTTATTATGTGAGGCCAATAGAGAGCTGCAAGTTTATACCTCATATTACCATAATTGTTTGTGCGCCCATTTCCGTCAGCTCTTAAATATATTCTCTTTAACTTACCATTTTGTTCCCCCTCTTGACAGTAAAAGCAATTTTACTGACAGTTCCCATCGGACACCACATGGGCTACAAGGGCTAATAACGACATCTGTGTATGGCACTATAATTGGTTTTAACACGACCCTGCCCAATTACCCTTTAGACCCAACTTATGTCACAAAAAGCATTGGGGAGATAAGAACAAAAAAAAAAAAAAAAGAAAAAAGCCAGATCTCGGTGTCTTCACAAAGGCAATCTCTGTTTCATTATGCTCTGATGTAATTCTATCACCTCTACACCCTCTGGACACTAAAATTCACACAAGTGTCTTCATGACTTCCAGTTGCAGAAGATCCACTTCTGGGAGAAGAACTGGTTCCTGCAGCAGTTTTTTCCAGTGGTGAACTCCGAATTCAAGCTGCATTTTCCACTGTATTACAGGACAAGACACAGATTTCAACAGCAAAAAGGACCCACTCCCCACTTCTTTTTCTCATTACTCCTCCCTCTGTAGGACCCATCACTTTTGTTCACTATCATCCTAAATGATACATACCCTGGATGAGCCTCTGACAACCTCAGACAGCTGCTTGATCGCTTTGGTGCTAGTCGTGATGGTTTTATTAGTCTCTTGCTGGGTTGCATGCCTGTAGAAAAGGAGACATGAAGAGAATTGTAATTGAAATTAATTGAATAACAAGACACTTAAAGAATTTTTTTTTTCAAACCACAATGCTATTGAGGCAAAAGGACTCACACCACATCCTGTGATGGCAGGGCTTACACTAGAAGGAGGAGGACAAACTTAACTCTCTTGATCTAACATAGTCAACTCCCTGCTAATGAGACACTAACACCAAGGAAGTACATGCACTCTGGAAGTCAAAACAGTCAACTGCCCATTCATGGTTTTACCCTTCTCTTTTATGTCTAATTCCATCGCCATTATTTCTTGTCATTACTTCTTGCAAGTCCTGGATGCCAGCATCTTGGTTCAAGATCACTCAAATTAGTGGGAGAAGCATAAACTCTTTCCAAAGATGTTTATCAGCTCAGGCAAGCTGTTCCCAAGTTTTTTAAGGTCAACAGAATATTTTCAGCCTCCTAATTTCCTGAGGAGCACTTCACACCATTCCACCAGGGAAGGAGTATCTTTTCCATTATGTTTCAATCAAAACCTACAGAAAGGGTCACAAACATTTGGAGAGAACGATCTTTTTCCCCTCCTTGAGGGCCACATCTGAGGCATCGCTGTACCGAAAAGTCTCATTTGCCAGCTGCTCTTTTTCAGGGTACGCGGGATATGAAATGAATGGAAATTCTTTGATTATAAAATGTTAAGAAGACTCTTCATGGCTCTATCTCCAAGACTCATGTCCTACCCCATTCCTTTAGCCTGTATCTGCTATTCTGTCAGCATTGACAGAGACTACCTCTTCCAAGATTTATGCCAAGTCTTTCAGCATTTCCCCTTAGGAACAAACATAGTTCCCAAACATAGTCTTTACTAAACACAACCTTAGCTATATATAAACTGGGAACTTGTCTTAGCATGTATTCTGCTGACAGTCATTTCCATCTTGCAAAGCAGCTTCCTCTTTCTGTCTGGTTACTGAAGTGGCCCAACCTTAGTGGCCTTGGGCTTCTGGTTGTCCCAGACCTTTATCCTTTCCATCTCTCTCGAATGCTTCTCTGAAAAGCAAGAACGAGAGAGACTCTCAGATGATTCTCTGTCTTAAATCCTCCAAATCCCTCATCTTCCATCTACTAACTCTCATGCTGACACTCAACTGCTGGCTTGTGCAATGGTTTGCCCAGCAGTCCCAAAAAACACAAGGTGAAGCTCTTCTATGTGTCACAGACACCACAAAATCCAACGTTCACCCTCATAGCAAGTTCAGCAGTTTTCATCTGCTTAAGCAAGATTTCTATGCAAACAACACAGGTGGCAAAGCAGCCTAGGATAGAAGTACGATAATTTTATTCATTGTACCTAACAGGTCTACAAATGGAAGCTTAGTGTACCATGAAGATAACATCTCCTTAGTTGAAGAACAGTAATTTGGATGTATCTATGCTAAAGACTGAACAAGCAAGCATGTGCTCCTTCTGTCACCATGCAGGTGACAAAACAGGTGAGAAAAGCTACTACAGAGAAATGACTGGATCAGTAACTAGTTAATCTGAGTTCTCTCCAGTGAAATTAAGATTCCATTTGTTTGTTCACTCATCAAAATGAATTTCATTATGTTTGACCCTAAGATCCATGGCACTAGCTGATAAAACACATCCCTTCTAATTGCAGATCGAAGAGGTCATATCTACCAAAAGCACATACCCCATACTGTCATCACAAGAGAAAGAACTGGGAATCGAATTCTGTCACATCGTTTACCTTCAGGATGACATATCTGGCCTCATACCATATCTTTTAATTGAATAAATCTTACCACTGAGTGCAGGAATTCCACAAAAAGCAGTTTCAAGATCGAGCCTTCCACAACCAATTCATTTTAATGCAATAAGAGGCACCAGCATTGAAGTCTGGTCATTTTGTAGACCTCATTAAATTATCTGCCCGCAGAACAAGGCAAGGATTTACACACCAGCAACTCCCCATCCCCAAAGTAAAATGGCTGATTAAACTTATGCAGCAGATACATTTTAAATTCTAAAGCTAAAAAGGGTCCCCTTCATTTGTATTCTAATGACAATTTGATGCTACATATTCTATGTAATAAATCCAGGCATACATAAACTGTGCCCTGATCTGCTTAAAAAAAATGGAAGTGGGGCTACAAAAAATAATGCACTTTAGCCAACATTCTGGTGCTTGATTTGGGCACTTCCCACTACATTGTCAGCTCAATTAACATTTTATTCATCAGCCTTAGAGATATGCTCAGAAATAAGACAGTTATTATATTTAATTTACATTAAATGTTATTAAGATCTTCATTAGAAAATAGGGGCCTAGAAATGCCACTTGCTGCAGTACTTTCTTTAATATGTAAGGGTAATAAGATATGACACTGCTATTGTTGTTATTACTGTTCTTCTCATTAACTTTCTTTATATTTCTCTTCCTATTAAAGTGTGGAAGTTAACTAAAGAAGTGTCTCTGATGAAAAAAGAAATGCCTTGATACTTTGAAAAAGTTAAATAGAGATGCAGTGTACCTAAAATATAAATATAGTAAAACATTCAACCTGGCTACAGTTCTACTCTGAAAATAAGCAGTTTAAGGAAAAAAAAAAAAAAAAGGACAAAAGAAAGATTAAAAAAAAAAAAAGAAAAAAATTAAAAAAGAAAGAAAAAAAGGGCATCTGTTAGGGAGAACAATATCTCTTCCTGTGCATTTTTGTATATAAAAGTCGCAAAGACAATGCACCACATAATACAAGGAATGCCCTATTGCTGCCTAACACTATTTTTTGGCTTCTGTTTCCTTTATCAGGGAACTACGGTGTGCTGAGCTCCTAATCCTCAGCAGGCAGCTGCTCAGTTTGGCTCTTTATTTTAGATGATCCTATCTGTAATTTACTTACCCAGTTTTAGGACTAGGCCAGCAAAGAGGGAGATGTAGTGATTGCTGTTTCAATTCTTTGCAGGGATCGGGTGTAGTAGCTTAATTATTTTTTGCTTTTGGGACTTTCAATGAATCACCAAAAAAAAAAAAAAAAAAAAAAAAAAACCAAAAAACCAAACCAAAACAAAATAAAAAAACAAAAACCAGACTTCAAATTCTCAGCAAAGACTGACGAAGGGAAAACTCCTCTCCTGCTTGCCATGCCTGATGTCATTCTGCATAATCTGAGAGCGAGTCAGGAGGGACAAGTGCAGGGTCCTGCACCTGGGGAGGAATAACCCCAGGCATCAGTACAGATTAGGGGTCGACCTGCTGGAAAGCACCTCCACGGAGAGGGACCTGGGAGTCCTGGTTGACACTAAGTTAACCATGAGTCAGCAGGGTGCCCTCGTGGCCAAGAAGGCCAATGGCATCCTGGCCTGCATCAGGAGGAGTGTTGCCAGCAGGTCAAGGGAGGTGATTCTGCCCCTCTACTCAGCTCTGGTGAGGCCGCACCTGGAGTACTGTGTTCAGTTCTGGGCACCCCAGTATAGGAAGGACGTGGAGCTTCTGGAGAGGGTCCAGAGAAGGGCAACCAGGATGATTAAGGGAATGGAACATCTCTCGTATGAAGAGAGGCTGAGTGAGCTGGGCCTTTTTTCTCTGGAGAAGAGACGGCTCAGAGGGGATATGATTAATATGTATAAGTTCAGGAAGGGAGAATGCAGGGAGGAAGGGGACAAGCTGTTCTCACTGGTGGCCAGCGATAGGACGAGGGGTAATGGCCACAAACTGAAGCATAAGAAGTTCCGTCTCCAGGTGAGGAGCAACTTCTTTACTGTTAGGGTAACAGAGCAGTGGAACAGGCTGCCCAGGGAGGTTGTGGAGTCTCCTACTCTGGAGGTCTTCAAAACCCGCCTGGATGCCACCCTGTGCCACATGCTGTAGGTGTGCCTGCTTGAGCAGGAAGGTTGGACTAGATGATCTGTAGAGGTCCCTTCCAACCTTAAATAAATATTCTGATATTCTGATATTCTGAGTCGTGCTCTGGTTGCAACAGGTTGAACGGCGTTTATTTCCTTTTACAACACAGGATAAGGCTCATTTCGCTTTCACCTGATAGAAGAGCCATAATATATATATTTTTTTTCAGGTGCAGATCAAGAACACCTTTATTGCACTAGCTTAAACTTCATTAGATTTAGTATCCCATTTGGCACAGCGCAAGAGCAGTGCAGTCATTTCCTGCACTTAAGAAGCGGGTGGTCAAGTAGGTTTGGCTATAATTATAAGCCAGGTGGCATACCCTGCCTTAAATGGTAACCTTATTTCTTTAACACGGCAGCTGCTTAATGCTCGCGGCAGTTTTCTTTCACAAAGAGACATAAAAATGATATCAGACGAAGCAGGGCACTGAGCCGCATGATCTCTGGCTCCAGCAGAAATGGGCTAGTACCTGCATTTAGATATATCCCACAGCTGTTGGAGGCATAAGGATGCAAGGGGTGCATTGAGCATGCATAAGGAAATTATTCACACCCTAAGACTTGAGCCATCCTCTTAGAACTGAATTTTGGGAAGCACTTAAGTCCCTGTTGAAGTATATGTGTGCATATATTTAACTTTAAGTAATGGGTATTTTTAGCAGCTGAGGCTCAATCTCCCCGTTTTTAGGCATCTCCTAAGCAGCCACATTGATCCTATAGCAGCTCTGAGGACACCCTTACCCAGTCTTAAACTATCTTCACTTTATCATTAAAGTCACCAAAAAAGAGTCAATCCATTTATTCTAGCTACGCACCACGACTTCCAGTTCCAGGACACACAATATTCTGCAATAAAAGTAGCACAGATATCCAATTTGCCTGTCACAGAGACACGTTAGGAGATGCTATTTGTCTTTAGGGAGCTCAGAGGCTGCTATGTGGGAGAAGAAGGGCTGGTATTTTAAATCCACCCAGTACCAACACGGTGTCATCACGTGGCTTTCGGTGCCCAGCTGCAGCGTTCAGCAATTCTGGATTGAAATATATGAGCTCTAGCTGGACAGCAGATCTCAAAACGTACAGTTTCAACACT